CCTTGCAGCCCGATTGGTGTTCAAATAAGTAAAATATAATGTATAGCCAAAAGTACATGCAGTCTCCTGTCTGCGTACTTGTGGTCTTGGTTTACTATTTATTGTTTGGTCTAGAAATCCTAATGGTGCAGCAATATTTTGGACAACATTGCTCTACTGTCTATAAATATATGATGATCCCAGTTTAGTGTGGAATAACTTGACTGGCCCTCACAAAGCCATGACCTTAATCCCATCCAACACCTTCGGAAAGAAGAGGAACAACAACTGCAAGCCAGACTTTATCTCCCAGTATCAGTGCCCGACCTGACAAAGGCTATTGTGGATGAATGGGAGCAAATCCCTGTAGCTAAAGTCTGTTGGAAGGAGAGGAGTTATAGCAGCAGATTAATGTTTCTATTTCTTCCCTTTTGTGGATTGTTGATAGTGAAGAGACAGACAGAAAACAAGGAGAGACAGAGGGAGGTATGATATGCAACAAAGGTCAGAGACTTGACTTCAGTCTTGGGTGTTGCAGTTATGGAGCATGTGTTTGGTGACCAGAAGCATCTGATGTTGGTGGTTTTGAAATGGCACGTCCACCGATCACATCCTGGTGTATGTTTATTTGTATAGCTTCTGTCGCTACAAGTACAACCTGTTATCAGTTGTTTGTAGATAAAGTGTGTGTTTGTGTTTTTCAGGGCTTTTGTCTACCTCAGTCAGAACAACTACGCTGAAGCACATGCATCCTTCACTGAAGTGTTAAAAATTGACCCAAAAAACCCTGTCGTAAGTACTCCCACATCCACTAACCTACACTGCTACTACAGGAGAGGAGCTTAGATTGCAGAAGTAGTTAAACTATTAGCTCTATATTACATTAATTTGACCTGCTCATGTTTAGTCCTCAGAGTATTTATTATCTCAAATGTGTTGGGGGTGGATGCCACGGAATGATCAGGCTTGATCTTGACCAAAATTTCATGTTTATAATCTAACATTTAAGTATATAGTGGCAATGTGGTAATAAATGTAATGTAAGAAGGATACGTTCTGATTTAATCACTGCACCTTAAAGGAAGAGTTCAGTGTTTAGAGGGAAAAAGTTGAGTGAAATGAGAAGATTGGTGAGATTAGTATGGAGCATTTAGTACAAAGTCTACAAACAGGGAAACATAAAACATTTATTTACAGTATACGCCCAACACTTAGGCAGGAGTGTAACAGCATGTGTGTGTGTGTCCCGAACTGTCCGCTACATGACATTCAGCTGGGGATGAGACTTCCTTGGTTCAGGGCGCCCTGTGATCCACACAATAACCCAAGTCTACCTTTGTCAAAATATACGAGATTGGAATTCAAGAAACAAAAATTCTAGATTGCAAGTTCCACCCAGAATGTTTTCACAGTGCACAAGATGTTGCTGTTATCTATAGTATGCTAGCAGGGTTCCTTTGAAAGCTGGGAAAACACTGTGTGAATTTTACCAAAACTGACGATATGTTAACTCAAACTACACATTTTAATTTGTTTTCAGGCCAGAACCTGCTGCTTCTCTGCTCACACTGTACACGTCAATCAGCCAGACGCCATGCTGACATGAGCATGAGCACAAAACTCCTGCTTGCTTTGTTCCACTAAAGTGTATTCAAACAGAACTGTCCTCAGTGCTGACAGAAAGGGAGAAAGCCAGTGTCACTGTGTGCACCTTCAGAACTGATGTTGCACTGCTGACTGTGATGGTTGATCTAGTGGTGAATATGTTGCACCTGATTTAAGTAAACAGCACAGTGAGTGTGTTGTTGTTGTTGTCGGTATTGTCACTGAGGGCCTTAACTGTTGTAGTAAGAGGTATTGCATATTAAACACTGTTTTTTATTTTTATATATAAGTAATAAAATTGTCAATAGTTTATATACTTTTCTTTTGTTTTCTCAGCTATGTTAAACATATACTGAACTGGTCATTTAGTAAACTATTTCAGGCTGTGGTGTTTTTCACCAGATACAGCTGGTGAGCACAGGTTTAGTTTATGACTCTGTACAGCTGTAATGATACCAACATTTGCAACATCACTGTGATATCAGCACTTTTGATGTGCCCAGTCACTTAACCGATCACAGTGCTGATTCATTCCCATATCTACGTTCCTGTTTGCATTCAGATTCATACAAACAAAGCGTGTTCACCAGTGAGCTGTAGACGTGTTAGCAGGTCAGTTTTTGAACTTTGGAAGCAGGCTGCTATCCTCTGGCCAGCACATTCTCACACCTGAAATGAAGTTATTACAGGTAGTTGTGAAAATGCTGAACTCTTCCTTTCATGAATATAATTATATGTTCCTGCTTGGGTTCTGTTCATTTTCAGTTTCAGAACATTGCTTTTAATTTCCACATTTTGACTGTAAAATTGATCTTAAAAGCAATACTAGATTGCATAAAAAGCCTTCAAGGGACAGTTCATCTAAAGCAGAATAAAACTTAGATGAAACACTATTGATTTATTCCACTAGTTTATGTTGCAAGTGTTGGCGCTCGGCTTGTGGAACTCTAGAGTGGCAAAAAATGTAATTTAAAAATTAAACATAACTTAAGAGGCTAAACAGTAGCACAATTCTAAATAGAATGGCAGCGTTAATGGTAAATTCACATTGAACCTTTCCTGATATTACATATGCTTTCAGGCTAACAACAATGCTGCAGTGTGTCTGCTTTACCTGGGACGGCTGAAGGAGTCCCTGGGCCAGCTGGAGGGTCTGGTGCAGCAGGACCCTGCACTGTACCTCCATGAGAGCGTCCTCTTCAACCTGACCACTATGTATGAGCTGGAGTCGTCTCGCAGCACCCAGAAGAAGCAGGCGCTGCTGGAGGCCGTGGCCTGTCGGGAGGGGGACAGCTTTAACACACAGTGCCTCAAACTGGTGTAAAAGGCAGGAGGATACCTGGGAAGAGGACACACACACACACACACACTACTCCACTGTCCTACAGCATGACAGGGAATTCAACCTCAAGAGTAGAATGTACAGGAGGAGGAAAGCTCAAGTTCCTGTAAGAGTGTGGTGACGGGATGCTTAGTGCTCAGTTAGGTGTCCTACACGTAAGTTGATGGTAGATGTTTGGGAGCTGGTTTTATTGTTAATAAATGGATTGTGGAAATCCAAGCACAGGCACACATGTCTGATGAGCCCACTGGGTGCATGACACTCACTCTCCACCTGAAGAGTGACCAGTAGTCATCTAAACAGTTACAACAGAAACAGCTCACACATACTGGTAGACTGGCCCAGTAGAAATCCTGCATGTACACAAGCTGATGTCAGTTTCATGTTACAGTTTAAAACAATAGTCTGACATTTTAGGGAAATGTGCTTATTCGCTGTCTTGTCAAGAAGCAGAGAGGATCGATGCCACTCTGACTGTGAGGTTTAATATGAAGCTACAGCAGCAGGTACAGCTTTGCTTTTAACGCTCGTCACTTATCACATTATAACCGTTTTAATCTGGACTAAAAGAAAAGTGTGAAAAGTTGCAGTGGTACAAGTTACATACTGGAATATTTCTTGACCAGGCCCACTGATTGTTGCTAAGCAACAAGCACAGACTGAATGAAGTCACTGAACCAGGACAAAAAATGGGAGACTAAGGGCTGCTAAGACCTGTAAAATGAAGTTTCATGTGATTGACTGAGGTTATTTCTACAGAACTATTCACCACCAGAGCAGCAGCTTTGCTTTGTTAACTACCAGCTGTGTGAGCTATGGTAACTATGGGATGTTTTACATCACACTGGCTCAGCTTTGACAGTGTTTTATGCTCTTATTGGTAGCTACGGGTCAAGTTTTTGTTCTTCTACTTTGTGATGTTTCCTCTTCATTATGTGATGTTTCCACAGCCAGACCTTGTTAACAGAACTGCTGGAAGTCTTTCACTGGATAACTGACACACATATATGAAGGAAAATTCTTGGATAGTAAGAGTGTAATACAAAGACATTGGTGAAAACTGATTGGCCATGAATTATGATTCCCTTTTTTATGAAGGTCACACATTTCGGAGGTAGGAGATCTTGATACCTGAGCTTGCTTCTCTTGTGAGCCCTTTGATATTGAAAAAAATGAATTACATTTTAATCATGATGTGGTAATATTTTGTTAAAACTAAATATAAGGGAAGGATTGTAGCAGGTTAACAAGCTTCACCATGTTTCTCCCTTTGATTTTTGTAGTTGTGCTGGTTTCTCGGGGACGGCTGTGTCAAGCACTTCCTTACTGACTAACTTAGCCAGAAAGGCTGCCGAAAACTAGCCTACTGACACCTCCAGCTGTCCATCACACAACCCACTACCTGGCAGGTTGTGGGACGCAGAGGTCCCTAAAGAGTGCACCAGTCTAGCACCTTCCCTGTAAAACACAGAGTCAGTTGTGCAGGTCAGCTGCTTTCCCTTGTTGTTAGTATTCATGCTAAGCCAAGCGGCTGCCTGTAGCTTCATATTTAGCATGCGGACAGAGGGGGATGTCGAGCTCCTCAGCTGAATCTCGGAAAGAACGCTAATAAACATATTTCCCTAATGTTCTTATACACTTGTGATATTTTAGCAAATAAATCCTAATCAACATCACTACAGAGGAATCATCAGATTATCCTTTATTATGATCACACACAAAAAAAAACAGAGCACAGAACTGATGTACATGACACTACAGTCTGTCAGTAGTTTTTAGGGAATTACTGGCTCATAATGTGAGACTTGAGATGGGCATTATCCTGAGCTCCACTGTGCTTAAAGACTAATAAACCTCCACAGAAGCCCTGTTTTTAAAGCTCCTTCTTCTGCAGACACGTGTAACAGTGCATTAACAGTCAGAGACCACTTTCATTTGACCTGTTTATTAACTTGTGCAGTAAAACTAAAGAAGCACTTCAGATTGCATTGTATTCTGCCCACTAAACAAAAATGTAAAATAGGATTCCAAAATTGTACATATCAAAGAGATGATTTTTTTGTTTGTTTGTTTGTTTGTTTGAAATGATTATATCAAAGTAACTGTCTTTTATTGATTTGTCTTCCACTGTTTACATATTGTGCTGATCATATTTATGTATATTAAAATAAATTTTGTTTTATCCTTAATAAAACTGTACTTTTAAATCAACCTGTCTGGTTAAATGCAAAGATAAAAACACACACACACACACGGAAAATTATAGCAGCTTTATTTGTTTATACAATACAAAGTGTATATTAATCTGTCAGTGATGCTTTACCCCTTTAGCTCAGTTAGATCATGTGATTTGTCTTTATTGATCCAGACAGATTAGAGTATAAAACTAGAAAATAGTGATTGAATGATTCATTTTCATGTCCAGGTCTGAATAAGGCATTTATAAGCTTATCATGATGTGAAACAAGTATTCAGACCCTAAACTAAAACAAGTGATGTTCCATTAGAAGCCTAAAGTACTACATTTACACTGTGGTAAAAGTACTCGTGCAGAATGGTGCCTTTAAAACATGTTAGGTTACATTATTGTTCCTGATGCATGAAGCTTTAATGTGTCTGACATGAAGCTAGATGTAACTATGTGAAGGGTTGTTGGGTCGTTTTTGGTAATGTGTTATATTTTATGGTGTGATCACGCAGCTAAATGTCCTTCTGCCCATGACAAGTTTTGATTTATCGTGAAATCTTATGTGACCAATACACTGACCAACACTGACTACTGAATAGAGGTGCTAATAATTTTTGACATGTCATGTTTAGTTTTAAAAAAACAAAAAGTCTATAATTAATGTAGCAGTATAAAATAGCATACAATGAAATGTATTTATGTAAATTGTACCCTATAAGACTCCTCGTGGAGGCTACATCATTCCATTCATCACTAAAAGGCCTCTTGGTGTTCAATATGATTGCTTTGCTACAGGACAGCTTTAATCATCTATACAAGTTTTCTCAACATTCTACTTGTAACTCCAAATCATTTGCCTCCGTCCAATCACAGGAGAAGCTCTGATTCAGCGTGAGCAGTGGTCATATTTTGAATCCACCTCGTAGCCTCTCAGGATGTCTGCAGAGAAGCCACGTACTTGTGGCGGATGTCAAAGTCATCGGCGGGCCTGTTGTAAGCCTTCCACACCGGTTCCCCCACAAACAGCCTCATGGCTTTAGCGTAGTTCTGTGGATACAAACAGTGTTCAGATCAGAAGCTGGTGAGTTGGCTGTAAAGATGTTTGAGTAAATAAAAGCTGCTGAATTCAGGCACTGCAAGACCAACAGCCTGAAGATAAACTGAATTTCAAAGTGCACTTACAGTGAGCTCAAAAACAAACAAAAGCTTCACACACCAGTGACAGCAGTCACAGCAACATCAGGAACACATCAGCATCTCTGATATCTCACATAATGTTGGAGCTGTAACGCAGAATGTACTCACTATTTTAAAAGTTAACGTACATATCAGCTGATACGTTTGATAAAATGTTAACTCTATCTGATGCTGCACTTGAGCACAGTTGTGTTTGTGTTCTGCTGTATGGAAACACCAGTTAGGTTGTGCTCTCAGTATTTGTTCAGCAATTCAAATATTGTTCTTTTGTGCAGCAACAGTCCAGCTACTCCTCCAGCATCACAGCATCTAATCCAGTGGTCTGAGGAGAATTGTTAAAACTGTCAGTGCTGAGCATCTAGTCGTCCCCAGAAAGGACCAAATAGAACAATTCTGTGCGTCAGTGTTTTTGGCTTCATAGGGTTCCTGTATGCTACCCAAGTAATCACCGTGCCATCATCAGTGCTCTTTACGAGGATGAGTCATGTCTTGTGGCTGCAGTGATTTAAGGGGCATTGCTTCCATTTTTGTGGTTTAGCAGGTGTTGTCAGAAGTACCGTTTCATCCAGGGTGAAGCGGTGGTAGATGCCGGCCGGCAGGGTGATCAGGTCTCCTTTACTCATGGCGATTCGGATCCATCGGTCCTCCTTGTTCCTGATGTCAAAGTAGGCCCGGCCGTCCAGGATGTAGCGGATCTCATCATCCAAGTGCAAGTGCTCAGTAAAGAACATCTTCAGCTGAAGGAATAGACAAGAAGACCAACAGGTCAGACTAATGGTGAGTTCTTCTCTGAATTCTAAATTTCCACATGGTGCAAGTGGTATCTGTCCAGATGTCACCAGTAATTGTAGAAGATGCTCATATAGAAGGTAGAAACCACTTCAGAGCATCACAATGATCCTTCACAGCTCAGATAATCTTCTAATGCTGTTGTAGCATCTTCTCCAACAAAATCGCAATAGAAAAGATGCCTCACTTCATCTGTACGGCTTTTGCTGTGTAAAGCATGCATGTTACCTTGTCCTCATAGTTGGGGAGTGTGTCCTTGCGAATAGTAATGATGTCCATATAGCTGTAGCCTTGCTCTTTGCGGATTTTTTCCAGCTCTGGGTCTGCTTCATAGATATCAGCATTCAGCTGCAGAAACAGGAGAATACACACGTATGTTACTAATCAAAAATTCATTTGTTCAGTGCTGTTAGTGCCTGATCTTTCCTCTCCTATGTAATGACAAATGAGCTACAAGGGCCAAAGGAAGACGAGCTCGTTGGCAAAATGAAATTCACAGACAGAACCTGAAAGATAACTGCCTGAAAAAGTTTCGTTTGTTTGCATAATTTTACAGATCCTGATTCTTGGCCTCTGCTCCAACCACTGCAAGCTCCCCAGTTTTTAAATTACTAAGAGCCACAATCAGGGGTTGAAATGCAAAAAGAGCAATAAAGGTTGTTCTCTTTTTTTTTTCTGGAAAAGACAGGCTGCAGGTGAGTGATCTAAACCTAAAAATAAATAAATAAATTCCTTTCACCTCCAATGTCAGAGCCTTCTAAATAGTTAGATACAAAGATTCTCATTTTAAATTGTCATTTTTAAATTATTGTTATTATTGTTGTTGTCACCACTGTGAATTTATGTAAAGTTCTGAAGGACAATAATATAAATACAAGAGCAGTATTGATAGAAACTTAGAGGCTGAGGAACTGTTTTTTACCTAATTGTTAGACTGACTGGCTGTTGCCCTTTTTTTTTTTTTTTTACGATAATGAATGATAAGATCAGTTATATTGCAGTAATAACATCCTGTTAATAATATTGCCTTTAGGCAGCAAAACTGAAAAGTTCCTGTAATCATCCAATCGATGCACAAGAAAACAAAGAGTGCTTCTCTTTAGAAAACGACATTTGAACGTTTGCAGATAGTACAATAAATGTGAAGTCATCCTGAATAGGATGCCTTGTTCCCTGTGATTCAGATGTAGTGAGTTTGTGCACAACAGATCAGCTGTTTGCATGTTAGAAAGCGTCCAGGTTAATACAACGATGCTGAGGTCTGATCTGGGGATCAGTGCTACCTCTGGCCACATTAGTTATGTAATCTGAGCAGCTTTATAAATGAACACAGTGCACACACACACACACCTAAAGCAGAAAGGTGTGTGTTTGTTGTGGAGAACAGCTGAGGAGGTTAGAATGTTACCTTCCAGTAAAACACTCCGAGCCGGCTCAGGTCTTCCATGGAAACCGGCTGGTTCGGCTCCAGCCTGTGGGGCTTCCTCTGGTCCTCATCAGAGGTGTCCATGTACCACGCTTCTATAGTCATGTTGGAGAGAACCACCGCACGCCGTCACAGCTGAATCCACAGAGGAGCAGTGAGCAGCGGACTGGCGGCGGCGGTTTTGTCACATGACCGCAGACGTCACTTCCTGTATACGACTGAGCAGCGGTGAGGCCGCTGAGGGAATGTATCTACTGCTGCTAAAAACAGGCCTCATTATTATTATTAGTAGTAGTAGCAGTAGTAGTAGTACTAGTAGTATTAGTATTAATGTTTTTGAAATGAAAATCTACTTTGAAGCTGCACCGGAAGCCCTCCACAACCAATGCTGACGGTAACAGAAGCACTGAACTGACCGCACTGATGCAAGGAGTCAAAACCATGGTCGAATACTGACCTCCAGTGGGCAAAGAAATAATAATAATAATGACAATAATGCTAATAATAATAATAATAATGACCATAATGATAATAATAATAATAATAATAATAATAATGACCATAAGAAGAAGAAGAAGAATATGCAGGAAAGACAAGAACACGTTAAATGTCTGACTAACTTTTTTCACCGGCCATGTATACCACCGTGTGTGTTGTGAAGAAAGTAACATAGCGTGGGCACTGACAGCATGTGCAGTGTGTTCACAAGTCTATCTTAACAAATGTAGGACTCTTTTTGATTCACGGATTTAAGGCTCTTTATTGTCACTCCAGCACATGTGTCCACGGGATGGCACGAAATGAGTACTCGGATCCCGGTTGTAAGCCAAAGAAATAAAATAAGGTTAATGACATAGCGCCATAAACACAATATAAACAAGTGTTTTCCGCTGATAAACAGGTAAATAGGCATGTGTACAAAATGCCGGATTATAAATTAAACTATCTAAACATGTATAACCATATATGCTAAAGTGGACCAACGTCAGGATTTTTGTCGTTTTATTTTATTCCTTAATGTTTTGCCGGAAGTCGTGTAAGTTGTAGCTGACGTTGGTCTCGTGTCAACCTGCGACATAAAGATCGGACAGAGGATTTGTGTGGTTGATCAGGAGTGAAAACGAGTGTTTGTCGACGAGGATGGGATTCGAACCCACGCGTGCAGAGCACAATGGATTAGCAGTCCATCGCCTTAACCACTCGGCCACCTCGTCTACGAGCGCGCAGCGAGCTCAGCACGGAGCTGTGTGGAAACATGAGGACTGTGTTCCTGTGTGGACTGTGTGCTGCAGGGTGCTGTGGAGACTGCTCTTTGATTCCTTTATAATAAATCTGAAATAGAGAGGAACTGGGAGGAGAAATCACAGTGGTTTGTTCAGCTGTAGTGTTTAGGAGGAAGCAGTGTGACACACTTACATACAATATATGAGATATAGGTGCAAAGCAAACATTTAATCCTCTTTGAGGCAGTGCCTAGAGATAAAGCTGGTATACTTGAACTCAAACATAAGGAATATTAGCTTTGCCAGTTATTTATTCAGCTAAAATATCAGTAAATGTAATTTTTTTTGGTATGTTTTCTTAATGTGTGGCCTCAGAAGCTGGTTTTGCTCCTTTTACCGTCTTGTTGCATGTTTCTGCCTGTCTGCTGTACTAGTCGCTGACATCAGCTTGCTGAAATTTTGCTTTTTATGCTCTTGAAAGATTGACTTCTGGTTGGGCTTCAGCATTCAGACAGATGACCTGACATTACCTTCAAGAACTCTTTGATATGATGCCAAACTCACAGGTGAATCATTAGCCCCTGTTCTATTAATCTGACCAGTCGTCTAACTGGACGTGTCAGCTTCGTGTCTGAAAGCTCCTCCTGGTCACGTTTCCTTAAAAGTCATGCCGGTGATTGTACTAGGTCAGGTTTATTATCGTTTCTGTGTCACTTTCAACACGACACAAGTGTGGACTGCATGACGTCATATTAACAGACAGACATACTCAAGCAGCTGCACTGAGCTGTATGAAGTGATTCAGGGACGGCTTTTACCAGATGTCAAGAACAACTTTGTTCTAGCAACCTCACAAAGTGCAAAACACACAGTTTGTGTGACATCAAACCTTTTTCATTGTCTTGGCTGTACAATCTGAAATCTATTAGGCTACAGAATGAAATGCCCATAATAATTACAATTTATTTAAGGTAAAAACAGAAAGTAACAGTTTTTATTCCCCACAAGACGTTAACAGGAGCTTAAGTTACTTGAAGGACTTTTTTCTCTGAGTTTATTAAATACCTGCAGCATCAGGCAGCAGGAGGATCCACATGAGTCTCGGGAGCAAGAGAGTTGATCACATTTGCACAAGTGGAACAACAGATCTATGCATAATGACACCAAACACTTTAATAGCAAAGAGAGCAGCAGGTCATAGATACCAGAATTTTAACTAAAATTGCTTCCACCTGTCACTTACTAAGAAGGTTCTAATCACTGGAACATAACTCTAATTTAAAGGATTCACAGAGTTAGATGCTCTCTCAATCAGGATGGACTGTTGCGTGTTGAAATATGCTGAAAAAGTCTACAAGTCTACTTTTGTTCCAGCATTGTTCCAGATGTAGAAGCAGACAGCTGGCAGTACCATCCACTGCTCCCCATGTTAATTAGACAAACAGCTTTTTATGTTAGAGATCAGACTGAAATGTCACACAAAGATAGGAACTAAAGTGTAGCAAAAACTTTGCTGTATTCCTTTACAGAAATGCTTCAGTCCTTTTGAAGCACGTACATTAGGAATGTGATGTATGTGGACGTCCATATGTGAAACATCCAGAAACTAAGTGATCTCATATGGAAAGGTGTGATTGTCATTTAGTTGAGTCAGATTCAGGGTTCTGACATTATGTGTGTGACTCCCTGCTGTGGCTTACTGGAACACTGACAGGGACAGAAACATTGTTCATAAAATGTATTGCACCTCTATGAGAAGTCAACATGTGGCTGGATTCCTTTGTATTGAGTATTGTATGTGTCATGAATGACAATAAATGCTACCTTGAACATTGAGCCTTGAAGTTTATGCCAACTTCTCATCCCATTCACATCAAATACGGTCTGATAATTGCCGACATTGTCAATCCTAACGCAGTTTGAAGGAGAGTAACCATAGAGATTCAGGCAATGCTGCTTAACCAGGAAGACTATAATAAAGTCATTCAGAGAAAGCACACTAGAACACACTCACTGTATAAAACACAATAACATTATTAAACAACAAAGAACAGAGCCGACAAAAGAGAGGGAAAAATCTGATTTGATTTTAGAATAAGAACAGAAACGTATCATTTTCTTTTAAGGAACTAAAACCATATACTGAGGGTGGTTTGATTTACATTTTGCACATTTAAGAGTTTGTCTGAGCCACAGTCCTGATCATCAGTGGAATTATCTCTCTAGTGTGTGTGTCAGACCTGAACCATCAGTCTTGCGTGATAAAAAGGAGGCACAAAACACTCAAAAGCCCCTAAAATCTGATCACGTGTAACATGCAACGTTCTGCTTTTCTGAATCATCTTAAGACAGAAACCTGCACTTCTGTTCACTTCTGGAAATTACTATAGCAACATGAGCCTGAGCAGCAGCTGGTAATACACGCATTTAAAGGCATGGGCTTAATAATCAGGCAGAGTCTAGCAGCAGATACTGTTGCATTGCATTAGAAATGTAGAAGCTATTATTTTTGGCATGTGTGACCTACATGGAGTAGAAGTTGGGATGTATCAGCCTCTGATGCTTCACTTTTGACAACTCTTTTTTTTTTTTTAATATATCTCCTTCAAGTCCCTCAGTGTCAGTGAAGCACAATACTGAATTGCTGCAGTTCCTACAATAGTTCTGTTACTCATCATAAAACCTTTATTTCACAGCCAGTGGTTCTAACCAACCAGACCAGTAATATACTGATACCCAGCAGACAAACCTTCCCCATTCCTTTAATAACAGCTGAGCAGAGATGAATTTCATAACAGGTGCTCACAGGAGGTGCAGGAAGGCTCAACCCCACACTTTCACCTAATGGAGAAGCAGCATGATAAAGTCAAACAACAAAATATAGGTCTACATTGGAAGCATTTTCAAGCATTTATTAAAAATAGCGAGTAAAATGATTGTAAGTGGGGCGTAATCCTCGGAGACTGACAGACGAGATTCTCTTTTCGTGCTCAGACTGTATGTAAAAACAGAGTTGAACCACCAGAGGGCGCTGCTCTTCACTGAGAGACAGACTGCACCCCACCTGGCTTCACCTGGAGGGTGTTTCATAAAGCAGGATTAGAGAGCTGGCCAGATCGCTGTGACAAAGATGCTCTATCCTGATACAAACAATCTCACACAGAGCAGACAAGCTCCAGAGTCAGGTGCAGGATTCTGTTTGTTGTCTTTAAATGATGTTTCTAGCATGTATGGCAGAACCCACAGAGGTGCTCTGTCCTTAGTTTCAAGGTTAACCCGACACCTTAGCCTCGACAGGAAGGAAGGACGTCATGCGGATGTGTCATATCAGCTGGCACCACTTCCTGGTTTACAGAACTATGTGTGAAAACAGACCAGAACAGTTAATTAAAGCACATTTGACACATAGAGCTGTGAGGGTTATTTAGAACCTTTGGCTTTATGCAGGTGAATTGTGAGCAACTCGAGTGGACAAGTCTGTGCATTTCATATGAATATGAACCTACATGTAGAAAAACCTTTAGTTCCTGATGAAAATAATTATGGATGTCCACAGACACACATTTTTGCTCCGTCTGAGCTGAGCCAGGCACAGATAGACCATCAGGTTAGGATGTACTGACAGCTTCCCTGTGGGCTCAGCAGTTCAAGCCTCATGACATCAAAGAAATGGCCCAGAATATGTTGACACACTATCTCAAATGTAGTTCAGAAATTTGACAGCGTATAACATACACGAATCGGCCACTTTATGAGGAACACCTGTGGACTCTAATGCAGTCGGATACAAAAGTCCAGCCATTAATTCTGCTATTGTAAGTCATGTACAGTTCCAGCTTTGTCGAAAAACGGATTATTCCTCCTGATGTTTGTTATTGAGGTCATGGTGGGTGTTGGCGGTGCTTCGAATATTGTGTCTAACCAGTAGATAAAAACACTTTATGTGCACCACCAACACCATTTGTATG